CTTCCAAAAAAACAAGGCGGGAAACACTGGTATAGTAGACCGGTTGAGCAAGATGGCTCAATTAGCTGCAGTGCCGGACACCATCGAGGGTGAGGATACAGCTTTGCTGTTTCTAGACAGAGTCTTTCGCCGACATGGCTTGCCTGAGGCAATTGTCTCGGATAGAGACCCGCGGTTCACCGCGAAGTTCTGGACGTCCTTCTTTAACGTGCTTGGCACCCGTTTGGACATGTCCACAGTGGGTCATCCGCAGATCGATGGTCAAACCGAACGCGTTACCGCGTTGTGGAGGATATCCTCCGAAGCGTATGCGCTGAAGCGCCGAAACGCTGGAGCGAGATGCTCCCACTCGTTGAGTTTGCATTGAACAATGCAGTACAATGCCTATACCGGCTTCACCCCGTTCTTTGTGAACGGTCTTGCGAATCCTCGCATCCCGCTGACGCCACCACGTGGTGGCTCAAGGCTTGGCGTGGGAGGAATAGCCGAGCGGCTTGCCGATGTCAGCCCTATTGCGGTACGCAACAGGTCGATGACTTTGGCTCGCTGAGACTTAGCGTTATGCGCCAGGTGCGCGATACTATGGCTGAGAGCCAAAAGGAGCACGCGGATGCTCGAAGCAGAGGGACTGTGGAAAGGTTTGAGGTCGGAGACCTCGATTTATTTAAACGTGAAAAACCTACCTACACATGCTGTGTCTGCCGTCTTCCAGACAAAACTAAGACCTAGGTTCATTGGGCCGTTCACGGTCGTGGCCAGGAAGGGCCTAGCGTACACGCTAAGTCTTCCCAAGAAGATTCGCAACCATCCGTGTTTTACGTTGGCTTGCTCAAGCCGTTCCAGGACCTGGCTCGTGTGAGCACCGAGTCACTGGCGCCAAATCGGGAGAGAGCGGCTAAGCCGCGCGCGGCTGCGGACAGCAAGTGGTGGAACCACGGGGAGTTGGTCAACAGCATGTGGCGAAGCCACAGATCGCGGAGCAAAATGCTCGAGATGCAGGAGCAAGTCAAGCTGAAGATACAGCTGAGCAACTTAGTGCTCAAGGTCCGGGACCTGGTTGTGAACCAACAATACGGAGTACAAACAGTCCACGGGGTGGGACAGCTCTTTGAGACCGACCGCTTCGCGATGAACGTGGTCGTTTGCGTCAGGGACGGATGCGTCGTGAGGACGCAGACGCCGTTCCGGCGAGTGCTGATTCGCAGCGCGGGAATCCAGCTGAGGCACGGCCTCCTCCAGCTCTGCTCGACGAGCGCGGTGAGCCCCACTATCATGTGGAATGCCTTGTGGTGCGTCGTCGTCGCCGGGGTCGTACCCAGTACTTAGTGAAGTGGAGAGGATATCCACATTCACAGAACTCATGGGAGTTTGAGGTGCCCCTCCGCGAGGACTGCCCTGACGTTATGGCATGGCACACTACTTGCCAATAAGTCACATGGGCTCGCGCCAGTAGTGCGGGGTGTCTACAGGGGTCGGTAGCTGAGCTCAGGCTCTGACCAGTGGCTGGAGCAGCGTGCTCAAGTATGAGCATCGGTGCTCGCAGCGGGAGCAGGTGGCAGGTGTGCCTCGTGGTGTGGGGGACGGAGTCCCGACGGAAGCGGATGCTTCGTGTTGCGTTGGACGATGTCCAAGCAGAAGCGTCCTGATTGACGTGTATTTGTTTCGAAGAAACTTGCTCAAGGAGCATTGTCCAAGGTTGGAATTGCGCTGTTACAGCGAAGGTGGTGTGTCCCGGACGAGATCGAACCACCGACCCTTGGCTTTCAAAGCCAACGCTCTACCATTGAGCTACGAGGGCAATGCCCGTAAACTTGTCCGTGTACGGACTATTGCTCATGGTATGAGAGGACTGTGCCCGGGCGGAATTGAATCACCGACCTGTGGCTTTCAAAGCCAGCGCTCGACTATTGAGCTAGGTGGGCGCTGCCCGTGGATCGAGTGAGTCCAAAGCCTTAGTCAAGGTATATTGGCTGTGCCATCGAGGGTGGTATCGAACCAGGGACCTCACGCTTTTCAAGCGAACGCTCGACCACTGAGCTTATGGTCGGAGCCCAAGGTTCTGATGAACATGGAGCTGAAGGCTCTTGAGCTTGGCTCACATCAGGTTGGCAGCTCATTGAGTGTGTGCCATGTCGGCAGCGTGGTGCCCGGCCACAAAGGTATGTGTGGCAGCTCTCGGAGCAGGCACGGCATAAGCAAAATGGTCTGGAATCTCATGGCAACTTGATGCGCAACGCGCTAATGACGTTTGGCCGTGGGCCTCAGGCGAAGTGCTATGCATCAGAGATGCAAAGGTGTTCGTGAGCTCGGGGAGGTGGAGAACGCAAGGATGAGGCGCAGTGCCCTCCGACGTCTTGGCAAGACGTGGCCTCGCTGAGATACTTTGGAGAATGCTTAAGTTATCATCTTAGTGGGAGAGAGTGTAACGGGGTTTTGTGGCGCACACATGGGTACAGAGTACCCGAAGAATTAACAGACTCTCAGTACGTGACTCGTAGAGTGAACTGTGGCCTCAGTACATAGGCTGAGGCCACACGGTATGCATTTGATTAGGTTTAACTATGCTAGATAGTTAAACATAGGAAGCGGCTTGACCGCAATAAAAATATACAATACACTTCGGGTTTGAAGCATAAAAGTTATTAGTGTTCTTAATAACTTTGAGCCCTGGTTCTTGGGCTATAAGTTTCCTTCGGATACGGAACTTAGTTCTAGGAACTCTTTGAGTCATACGTCTTCCTCTGACGCTTAGCTACGGCAGCCCCACTGCACCGCGACACAATAAATCACCCGAGATCTTTTTGGCCCGTAACTCTGCCAATAATTAGACTTAGTATACGCTATTTAAATATGTTACTGCTGCAATTGATAATATGCTGGATCTTGTGCTAACGATCCCAATTTCACAGTATGCGGTGGACCTCCCATACAACTTTCCGATAGTGCTACCGCGGTCCAAATATATCACCCACAACATGAATACAAAAATCAAGATTAAAAGAATGCAGGTCAAATCAGTAGTGAGTCTTATTACTCTTCTTATCTATAACTTCCACGCAGCGACGACGCATGGACTCGACTAGGGAGTCTAACAAGGTTAATGGAATGTCATCCTATGCCTTATAAAGCGATGCGTTTAACTCGTCGACGCTCTTAAATTGTTTTCCATTAGCATAAACCTTCCGACTCATAATTAACCATAAGTTCTCAATTGGATTGAGATCAGGCGACTTAGAATGCCAATCTAGAACGGCTATATCTTACTCTTCAAAAAAAAATCTTTGGTTCGGCGAGAAACATGGATGTTGGCATTATCTTTTTGAAAGTTAAAGTCAGTGCCGCAGTTGAGGTGGGCAAAGGGTAGGAGGTTCTCAGAAGTTATATAGACGTAAGTGTCTGAGTTCTGCTTCCCCGTTAGCACAACAAGCGGGGACTTGCCGCGTACGCTGAATGCGGCCCACACCATTACGGAGCCACCGCCTCCTTGACGCCGTTAAGCGTGGCTCGGAGGTCTACGTAGGTCGCGCCAGTAATGTTGGAACCCGTTGAGGTCGTCTAGGTACCATTTCTTTTCATCCGAGAAGAAAATGGACTCCCAGACAACACCGGCATCCTTCCGTAGAAGTATGGTTCCAGCCCATGCCTTACGTCGTAGCATGTCCCCCGGTTTCAGTGGCAGTGCATTCACTATTTTAGCGTAGATGAGCCAGTCCACCTTAGCCAAGATGTACTGGATGGTCCGTACTGTAACTGAGAGACCTAGCTCCTCCTTGAGTTTAGCGGCGGAGAGGCCGCCCTTTGCAGCGGTGCGAACAAGGCGTCAAGTCTCACGGTCGGATAGGATAGGGGCACGACCTAGGGGCTTGGTTGTCTTGGGTAGGGCCGAGGGTCTAGCCGAGGCCACAGTACGCCTCACTGTCTGCGCACAGCGTCTGGTCTTCTTGGTGATGGCGCGGGAGCTGATGACGGCTTCGTGGAGCCCCTCAATCTTCCCACGTTCGCGGTCGGTTAAGCGGGGCTTCTTCGTTCTAGGAGGGGTCTTCTTCTTTATGTGCATCTTGCAGAATGAAGGCTGCGTTCAATGCAAGACTGCTCACCTAATGGGCTGCGTGCCAATCATTTCTATAATGACCTGCATTCTTTTAATCTTGATTTT